GTGAAAAGCTGTGGGTGTGCAGAGAAAATGAACATCACTGCATTGTAAAATTGTAACTAATTTGTGTGTGTGTACGTCAGGAAGTCATCTGATAAGTTGTTTGTTTACGAGCACCAGGATAAAAACCTCCTCTGACATGCGTAGCCGGATAATCAAGTGTTCCAACGAGCAGAGATGAACATGTGCCAGAACTCATCCGTCATGCTGTCGTTGTTGCAGATTGTTCAGTTCTGCATGTCTAAAAGAGTGTGTCGAACTGCAGCCAGTCGAGCCCTTTGATCAGAGAGGCGGTCAGCCAGGAAAGGTGGCGCTAAATGAAAACGCGGGCTTAGCTACAAGAGCTCTCGTCACCGATGATTGCGAGGGAAAAATATCTACAGACACATCAATTACTGAGATGTGGCTTCTCGCTGTAACAAGCAGGAGAGGATTTCTCAGTAACCACAACAAACCCCATCCAAGAAGAATTCCCAGTGACAGACTAATATGTGGAAGCGAAGCCGGAGCACTCTACTGTACATAATGTGTTGCAGTGCTGTTCACGTTGAAAAAAGCAGAACAGAAAAACCAAGTCGTTCTCTGCCTTTGCTTTTAAAAAGTGTTGTGTTTGCTCTGCTGCAGATTAGTCACCACTGGAGCATGCTGTGCCAGATTTTTCTTTAAAGCATTGAAAAAATGGCCTTGGTGGAATTAAACAAGTCGATCAATAGCAGTTTCAAGCTCTGCATTCAGCACGTGGCAGGTACAGGATGTTCAGTCGAACCACATATTGACATTTGAGAGTTTTACAGTAACAATAGGTCGACCTATATTCATTTTCTTACAAAACACCCACATTTTGGCAATGAACTCAAGAATAAAGAAGGTAAATTATTAAATATAAGACCCATAGCAAAGATACGTTAAATACTCTATGTTCTGCCTTGATGCCTTTACACATGGGGTGAGAAAAGAACAACACAAAAATGTGATATACTCAACTGCAGATATATGTCTCGCACTTTTGTTTTTTAAAGGTGTAACAGAAGTAGTGATCTGATATGCACTGGTTGAGAGGGAGTAATGAAGTTTGGGTCAAGCTAAAAAACAGCCGTTTCATTGTCTTATGACACTCTAACCTGTGAGAACATGACTGGTTGATGCCCTCATTCACGATGCTAACACCCCCAAGAAAATCAACCTGGTTCCTAAAAAAATGATGTTGCTTTGTGTATGAAAATATTGATTACAAAACCACAGTGTAAAGAAATATAAACATGACAAATAATCCCCAGAAAATAAATCCCATGTTGTGTGTAGGCCTGATATGACTCGTAATATATATTTCCCTTTGTTTAGAAATGACTAGACATTTTGCACAAAATGTAATCAAACAAATGATGTTTGGAGCAACATTAAGAAAGCATTATTATTGGACGACTCTGCAAAACCCATTGATTATGACACTAACAAATGTGAAACTTCATCAGATTGTTCAACATGTTTAGAGTCCAGGGAAAGATCTTTAAGTAAACATCACCTGTTGGATTGTCCTCCTGGGACACTAGCTCCAATATGTAAAGTCAGATGTGTTACACACAGTTTCTGCTATAAAGATCAGCCTGATAACCAAATATCCAGCTGTGGTTTGCTCCCATCAAAACAACAAGTGCTATCTGAGTTTGCAAGTCAAATGAGTTTTATTTATTCCTGCCAAAACCACATTTGCCTCAGAGGATCCTCCATCCCACGCTTCAAATATAGAAAGGAAACTCCACCAAGAGAAAGAGAAACTTTTAACAACTGTTGCTACACCTGCTTTGCATCATACTCCTACGTAGAAATGACAGCTGAGGCTCATGGAAATGAAAGTATTTACAGCCATACAGCATAGTAACAGAGTAAAGCAATGCTAAATGCTAACATCAGAATGCTAATATTCTCTCAATGAAAACGCTAACGTGCTAATGTCTGGTTTAATGTTCACCTGGTTGGATTAGCGTGTGAGCATGCTAACATTTGAGTCAGCACTAACTTTCAAATGTTAACCTTATGATGGCGAAAGATGACACACACACACACACACACACACACACACACACGTACACATGCATGTACACACACCCATCTCTCAGCAAATGTAAGGGTCTACTGGTTCTTTGTGTGTGTGTGTGTGTGTGTGTGTGTGTGTGTGTGTGTGTGTGTGTGTGTGTGTGTGTGTGTGTGTGTGTGTGTGTGTGTGTGTGTGTGTGTGTGTGTGTTGCATGTCTATATTGATCTAACAGAGGGCAGGTCGTCTCAACGACCATCACATCTTGCTAACAGTTTCTCTTCTCCCCCTTTCTTTCTGTCTCACTCCCACTCTCCTTCACTCCCTCCCACTTGTTCTCTCTCACACACACCCAATAACACACACGTACAGAAGGTCACTCACCTTGGTCTTGGTGAGACGACAACCCATTCTGACTTTTCCCTTTTCCTCGACAGATACAAATTAGAAGGAGAGTGAGACGAGGATAACAAATGGAGGGATAAATGATTTTAAAAAAGGAAATAGGTGAGAAAGGAAGATGAAGAGGACAGAAAAGGGACAACAAACAACACGAGTCCAAAAGAGATCAAGACAATAGAAAGCCAGAGAGTTTGCTGAGCCTTGTTTGTCCACCAGCTCACATTTCCAAACTCTGATGACCCACAATCCCCGGCTAATCAGCTGTCCTCCCGGGCTGCAGAGGAGACTACAGCTCCCATGATGCCGCGGTGTAAACAGCAGCAGTAATAGCAGTCGGTGGGCAGCAGGTCCATCCCATTAAACCTCTCTGTCTCTCCTCAGGAATCAGGAATAAACACAGGCGGGTGAAAAAGCATCAGCAGAGAGAGAGAGAGAGAGAGAGAGAGAGAGGCTGCTGACACACTGAAGGAGATGAAGAGAGGAGGAGGAAGAGGAGGAGGTGAGAGAAGAGCCTTCCTCATCTGACAGTTTCTTCTTCTTCTTCTTCTTTCTTATTCTCCTGTCACACTCTCTCTCTCTCTCTCTCTGTATCTCTACAGCTCTGCTCCAGTCGGCCAATCACAGAGCCCGGATGCAAGGAGGATGGAGGCGGATGCTCTGATTGGCTGAGAGCAGCATCAGTTTACACATCCATTCAGGGTTTTTCTCTCCTTCACCTATCTCTCTCTCTCGCTGTCTCTCTCTCTTTTTTTTTTATCCGTCCTCCTTTTTTTTCCCATCTCTGTTTCTTAACACTGTCTTTTTCTCTCGTCACCATCTGTCTCAAAATGCCTTCCTCCTCCTGTGCTTCACTCTCCGTCTGTGCACCCAGCCACGACTGATGCTGCTATTATTCTGCGCGTGCGTGCGTGCGCGTGCGCGCGCGTGCGTGTGTGTGTGTGTGTTTTGGGCTCCTTACAGGAATTCCCTGCAGCTGCGGTTTGTCCAGCAGGTTGTGGAGCTCGTTCTTCGAGGCTTCGATCTTCTCGGGGTCTGCTGCGTCCACCATGTAGCTGAAACAGGAAGAAAATANTTTAAATTGTATTTTCGGATCCTGATCGAGAATGCCGCCAGAGCGTGTCTCCCCGTTACCTGCAGAAGGAAGCCATGCACGCAACGCAGCCCCGCTCTCTTTATCTCCAGGTGACATTCTGCCGCTTTCCTCCGTGGTGCAGTGCTGATCGTTTCACCACGGAGGAAAGCACTTGACTAATTGCAGTACCCATAAGGAGCTGTACAAATGCCGCAGTTTTTTGCGTGGCTGTGTATTTAGTTGAAAGCCCAGTGGCGATCTGCTCATCTCTCATCGACATAATATGCTACAAAGGGGCGGACTGGCCATCTGTGTGTTGAACTTTCCTGTCGGCTCCCAGACCGTAGTCGAGGAGGGCAGAAGCAACAAGCTTCAGGTTCAATAACCCACTTTAGCTTAGAGAGGCGAGCTCTTCTTGGGAGGCCGTTGCATCTATTTAGCTGTTCTTCTGTTTCACAAAATACATCACAGACCTCTGTTTTTCTGCTTCCTCGTTTCACTTCCAGAAACATACACACGTTCTCTCCATAGGTTCTCTCACTGTCGCTCTACCATCCACAAACACACATGCACAAGCCACACCCCTCCNAGCACTTGACTAATTGCAGTACCCATAAGGAGCTGTACAAATGCCGCAGTGATGAGCAGATCGCCACTGGGCTTTCAACTAAAGACACAGCCACGCAAAAACTGCGGCATTTGTACAGCTCCTTATGGGTACTGCAATTAGTCAAGTGCTTTCCTCCGTGGTGAAACGATCACTACTGCACCACGGAGGAAAGCGGCAGAAAGTCACCTGGAGTTAAAGAGAGCGGGGCTGCGTTACGTGCATGGCTTCCTTCTGCAGGTAACGGGGAGACGCGCTCTGACGGCGGTCTCGTTCAGGATCCGAAAATACAATTTAAATATTTTGCACACTTATTCCACTTATTCCTAGTGTGCCACTGGTTACGGTGCCGCGTGTCAATGCTGGCACACGCGTGCCAGGGGTTGCCGACCCCTGGTATAAGCACTCTGGAACTACATTTTGTGGCTTAAAATAAGCTCACTTCCTTCCACCGGTTTGTTCTAGTCCATTCAATCCCTCTGCTGGGTTGTTATGTTTTAAAAAATAATCTATTTAGTTAACTGTTAGCATGTTTAATTAAGTTTAGTTGGGTTTTATTAGTTCCTGTGTGTGTGTGTGTGTGTGTGTGTGTGTGTGTGTGTGTGTGTGTGTGTGTGTGTGTGTGTGTGTGTGCGTGCGTGCGTGCGTGCGTGCGTGCGTGCGTGTGTGTGTGTTGAGACAGTGTGGGTGATCTGACTTCCTGCTGTGAGGAAACTCTTCCGATGGAGACACACTGAAACGGTTCAGATCTGAACTTGTGTGGAAACACAATGAAACACACACACACACACACACACACCTTCTTCTTCTTTCTTATTCTCCTGTCACACTCTCTCTCTCTCTCTCTCTCTCTCTTTATCTCTACAGCTCTGCTCCAGTCGGCCAATCACAGAGCCCGGATGCAAGGAGGATGGAGGCGGATGCTCTGATTGGCTGAGAGCAGCATCAGTTTAAACATCCATTCAGGGTTTTTCTCTCCTTCACCTATCTCTCTCTCTCTCTCGCTCGCTCTCTCTCTCTCTCTTTTTTTTAATCCGTCCTCCTTTTTTCTCCCATCTCTGTTTCTTAACACTCTGCCTTTTTCTCTCGTCACCATCTGTCTCAAAATGCCTTCCTCCTCCAGTGCTTCACTCTCCGTCTGTGCACCCAGCCACGACTGATGCTGCTATTATTCTGTGTGTGTGTGTGTGTGTGTGTGTGTGTGTGTGTGTGTGTGTGTGTGTGTGTGTGTGTGTGTGTGTGTGTGTGTGTGTGTGTTTTGGGCTCCTTACAGGAATTCCCTGCAGCTGCGGTTTGTCCAGCAGGTTGTGGAGCTCGTTCTTCGAGGCTTCGATCTTCTCGGGGTCTGCTGCGTCCACCATGTAGCTGAAACAGGAAGAAAATAACTTTAAAACATTTGTACGTTCATTCAAACTATTTAAGTGTCATTGACTATCAAAATAATGTTTTTCTTTCTGAGGGGAAATTAGGTTTCTGGCTGTTCAAATGAAGTAAGAATCTTCGAATAAACCTAAGTAACAAATTGTAGATTGAACTACAAAATATAAGTACAATAAATGTGTATTTTACAATATGTAACGTGATGTATATAAATACTAAAATAAATGATGATGAAAACCAGATGATTTTCTTTCATCGTATAGTAAGAATCCTAAGTGTTATCAGTATTGCACAGTTGAATAATTGCACAGCAAATACTCAGAACTATTATTAACTATTTCAAAATGTTGGTCCTTGTCATATCATGCTTTGCCCTGGAAAACTAAAATTGGTGTATTGTAGAAAAATCTCACAGCCAATCAGAATCACTTTCACTACATGCAAAACAACTTTAGTGCTCTCTGTTACGTAACCCTGACCCAATTACCCAGCAGCCTCTCTGTCCCATCGCACCAACACAACTGGGTTAATAAGACTGCAGAACTGCTCCTTCCCTTTTCACATAATGTGACCAACCTCGTGTGAACAAAACATTTGATTATAATCAGCTCTCTCTCTGTTTAATGTACTGAATACGAGTTGGTGGAGAAAAGTGCGTGACTTTCTGACTACTGGCTCCTTAATGTCTTCAATGATTAATATCATGTTTGGTCCCAGCAGAGACGTCCAAGCGGCCTCTTTAAAGGTCACCTATTATGTAAAATCCACTTTTTTATGTCTTTTCTACATCAACATGTGTCCCCTCTGTGTAAAAAGACTCCGGACGTTTCAGGAAAAAAGATTCTCTCTCTTTTTGTCCTGAATATAAAAACCTGTCTGAAAATGAGCTGATCAGATTTTGGCCACTTTATGATGTCATGACAATGTTTTGGCTTGAGTAACCACTAGCCAATCAGCAACCAAGGTAACCCGCCCCCCTTATCACCTGAATGTCCTCCTTGAGCACCATTGTGTTCTTTTTAACCAAATCTCTCTCAGAGGGGCGTGG